CCTCAACAAAGCTGTCCAAGTCCAAGGTTCAAGCAAGCAAGGAATGTGAGTGGCCACGAGGACATTGGCCAATATGAAGCCATCTTCCCCTCAGCTCTGTGTTTGATGAATCCATTGCTGATGTTGGGACACTAGCCAAGCCACAAGCACCATTGCAACGGCCAACGTGTTGCAACTGGTGATTGCTCGTGATTGATTTGAGGTGAAAGCTGCAGCAAGATACAGTACTTTGCTCTACATTCGAAACTACAAGGGTGTGCTATAAGTTAATAAGCACAACAATCTCCAAACCACACCGAGATTCCTCGAGCCGAACCAAAGTGTTCCAGGCAGATCTTGTGAAAAGAAGCACCACTTCAGTGCCTGACCAGTTTTCTGCCGCTCAATGGTAAAGAAATGCCGTGGAGCCACAATCCTGAGCAGTTTGCGATCACTAAATAAAGCTCCTGAGTCTCTCCTCTATCTGTCTTGGGCTCCAAACTTCGACATAGACAGCCGGAAGAATGGCGTTTTGCAAGCGAAGATCTGTGGCGAATTCGACATCTATTTTGATGCTAATTGCCATTGCCATTGCAGCGGAAAGATACCGACGAGTCACCTCTTCAACTGAGCATCCCATGACCTCCAAAGGCACAATTTTGAATGAACTTTAGCAAAACAATGCAAACAACTCACGTTTCAAGTAACCATATGTCAGCGTCTGCTTCATCCGCCTCTGTGGCAAACCGCAGTTTGGGTTCCAAGCTTTGAGGCCTAGCATTCCAAGGTGCTAATCAACTTGACAAAAGGTTGGCTGTGGGGTTGGGCTGTGGGCGGGCGCGGCGGGGGTATAGATGTAGCTATATAAGACAATAAACATAGTGATGGCCTCCAACCTCATAGCAATGGCCTCCAACCGAAGAGCGATGGCCTCCAACCTAAGAGCAATGGACTGCAACCTAAGAGCAATGGCCTCCAACCTAAGAGCGATGGCCTCCAACATCATAGCGATGGCCTCCAACCTAGAAGCGATGGCCTCCAACATTATAGCGATGGCCTCCAACCTATGAGCGATGGCCCAAACCTAAGAGCGATGGCCTCCAACCTAAGAGCGATTGCCTCCAACCTAGAAGCGATAGCCTCCAACCTCATAGCGATGGCCTCCAACCTAAGAGCGATGGCCTCCCTAAGAGCAATGGCCTCCAACCTAAGAGCAATGGCCTCCAACCTAAGAGCGATGGCCTCAACCTAAGAGCGATGGCCTCCAACGTAAGAGCAATGGCCTCCAACCTAAGAGCGATGGCCTCCAACCTAAGAGCGATGGCCTCCAACCTAAGAGCGATGGCCTCCAGCCTACGAGCGATGGCCTCCAGCCTAAGAGGGATGGCCTCCAACCAGCTTGAAAGAAGGGCTGTGGGGTTGGGCTGTGGGCGGGGGTATGCTATTACTACAGTAAGCTTAGATTTTAAAGTCACTCGAAGCCACTGGATGGAATATGATGCAATTATATATTATAATTGCGCAGATTTGTCCCAAGCAGCAAAAGTTGTCCTGACGAATCCTGCCTGCGGGTCTGCTTTTACACGCGGCTTAAATAGGGAGAGTTCTTGCATATGTTTCTTTTGATTTCTTTGGTGCCTTGACCAAATCTGCAAGGCATGCTGCTTGAGAAGCTTTGGAAACTCCTTCCATCTCAGCAACAGCCAAGGCTTAGAAACTTCTGCTCTAACTTGGTCCTCTGGGTCGACTTTTGCCTGGTCCAACCAGAACCTTGCACTTGCTTGCACTGCCCATTTGTAGAATTGCTGAGCTCATACCTTGCAAACAGAAACCAGGCAGCTGGCTCAAGAGCTGGTCGCAATGTTGTCAGGAGTGGCCGACAAAAGACCTCTGTGACAGCTTTCAACTGCAAGCATGGACAGCAATATACAGCAACCAGCACCAAACAATATGACTTGAATACCAAGGAATGGACTTTTGGATACGTTGCGATGATCTCAGCTAGATCATCTTCAGCAACCCCGACTTCAACCTCCAGAAAGCGGACCTGCGGTTGCTACTCAATTAGCAACAGACCGAACACATTAATAACGCGTTTCGTGAAATAATGTGCCCTCCAACAAATAATTCACGACACATGTTGACACTTGATATACTATAAACATTTATAACCACTCGTGGCTCATGAAATTGCGCAACCTGTTGACCTCCTCTCTTTCTAGCCTTCTCCTTCAACGTCTCTGCTGAGAATACCTGCAAGACTTCCGGGCAGTCTGCAATAGTCCTCAAACACGGTCTCTGTCTCCGTCTTCACGGGTTGTTTGAAGAAGACCAAATGAAGCGGCTAAGCTGGCTAAGCCGCAAAGAAGAAAGCTTGAAGGATCTGTCCTTGCTAGTTGCGCAGAATCTAGCCCAACTTCGTTCTGCAAATAGTCTCTGACCATGATACACCTGCCAAAATGACTCCTTAAAGGAGGACCTTGAGCACCGTTTCAAGATGTCCGCCTTGATGCTGGAGGCACACGCTCACCACTGATAGACCAAAACTTTTGGACCTGCGACATGCTCTTTTCCCATTTAAAGACTTCTGCAAAACCTGGAGGTGCCTTCCAAAGCTGTTTTCCAGAGAGGCCGAACTCTGTAAGACACTCCTTCCAGGTTTCAGCTGCTTCTGCTGGGAATGTAACGTGATATATGGCAAGCGGCATATCTATATTCAAAGTGTAGAGCTTTCGTCTGTAGACGTATATATACAACTGTCATCCTCCGTCTTTGATCGCTCTGTGTCAGGATCTCCAAGCTCCTGGATGAACAAAGTGTGCAATGCTGCAGCATGCTGCACCCATTGAAGATTCCAGCCAATCGCAAGATAGAAAAAATGTCTTTTCACATCGTTTCAAATGTCTGCCTTTCTCCTCCCAACGTCTCCCAACTCCATAAGTCTCTAAACAGTGAGGACTCCAGTGAGGATAGTTTTCCCGCAGACTCGGAACCGGCCAGGAACCCACGTCTTCAAACACTCCTGGGTTTCAAACGGCTCCTGGCACAGCATTTGCTTTGTGAGAGCTTACAGCAAACCCTGGACACATTCTGATGTGCCTTGAAAGATGCTTCAACATAGGACAACACCTCTTCTACAGTCTCTGGCTTCTGTGGATTTGGCGCCTCTGATGAGCCAAGGTCTTCAGTCTCCTTCTGACTTGTAGCGAAGTCATCCTCTTCGCAAGATACATCATAAACAAAGGGTCGATATGAGAGTCATCTGACATGTAGACCCAACTTGCTCAGCTTGAAAAGGGTCCTCCTTCTCTGCCAAGTCTGTGGCCTGTACAACTCCAAAGTCAGAGTCCTCGTCCTCGTCTGAGTTTGAACTGACTCGAAGCTGTCAAAAAGTTGAATACCTGTACAACGTGAATTGACTACATAGGCAATGCACCAATGCAGTACTGTAATATAGCTGCGGTGTGTCCCATTACCAGTAACAGTGGATGATGATGGTTAGTAAAGGCCTTTCTCAAAATAGTCAGAATATGTTTCTGACTTTTACTGGTAATGGCCTATTCCCTAAATATAAATCAATCATGTTCAATCTCTGCTAAAATGGTAAACAAACATACTTGAGTTGGAGAACCCCATACGGAATTATATACATCTCATCTACGGGTGGATGTGAAGTGTGCAAGGAGTCTAGGTTGTGAGGACCCCAGTCAATCTGCCTGTGCGGAAGCTATCAAACCGCGGCATCTCCGCCTGCAATTGCAATGGTCAATGAATAAAAAGGGACAGCAGTGTGACGGCCCCGAGAGAATCAGCCTGTGTGGATCTCTTCTGCAAATCCACCTGGAAGATGAGAACACTGCCAGGGCTCCTGCAACTTCTGGCAAGCTGCCGCGCACCTACATGCAAAGCTTTTTCAGTTGGTCAGTTGGAGAACCTTATTATATACATCCTGCAAGAATCATCTCACCATTTGTCGATAAACATGTCATTGAGCACAACATTTAGGTGTGGAGTTCAGAATTGACACGCACAAAGCGAAGCACAAACTTGGAGTTTTGTACGTCTGACTGGCCTTGAGGCCCACTGCGGGCTCTTGTACCTGCGTTCTTCCCAAAGAAATGGGCGAATGTCAAGCGTCTTCAATGTGTTCTTCCGTAAATTATGTAATTATTGCCTGCTTCTTGCTACCAGTAGCGATGGCCTCCAACCTACTGGCGATGGCCTCCACCTATATAACGTATATAATAATTAGTTCATAGCATCCTTGCTACTATATACAGTATATATATAGCTGTAGCCTTCGTTCTGCACTCTTAGGTCCAAGCGCTCAAAGATTGAATCAGTTTGGACCTTCCACTGACCCTGGCATGGCCAGGCAGTGAGACGCACCTGAGCAACGTTAGAGTCTGGGAAATGCCCATGCCCCTGTGTCTTCTGGAAATCTTGGGACATAAATGTGGAACAAGTCCAACTGAGCTAAGCTGAAGACGGACTTTCAAAGGCCATGGTATTCAGCGCGGGCCATTTGAGACGATGAACGCGATGTCAAAGGTGTCGCAGGTAGTATGATGAGTGAATGATGTGAGTTCATCAGGTCTGAACTTCTAATGAAATCGACCATCATTGAGCCTGGCTATGTAACAACTGTGACCACTTGTTGTGTACATATGTACAACCTATCCTCAACAGGACGGCAATTCTTGTTCCACAAGTCTGGAAACAAACCAGCACGCCTCCCAACCACATGCATGTATCTGTATGGGCTAGAAAAAGAATGCACAAGTAAATTACATGTATTTGCATTCTCCCAGATTTCGAGAAGAACATGTGCTCACGCTCATGTGTTATCCACACTGTTTCACACCTCCTTTGAAATGACTGCAATGCATAAGGGAACACACTCAAACACTGAATCCCTTGACTGCAGTCGCTACCTTAAGATTTCCCACCAAAAAAAGCATCAAAAGAAACCTCCCTACAGATTCAACAGGGATCACATGAAATCAGTGAAAGCAGGGCACATGTGACAAGCTCTGTCAGCCCGGTCTGCAGCAAGGCCAAGCAGCTGCCAGTAGACCTAAGCCAAGCCAACAGTTTTGGGATTCTTGGGAAAGGACAATGGGTGGGCACGCCTTTCCGAGGCCTTCTAAAACGGGGGCAAGGAAGATCAGGGATCTTCGAGGAAGCTTCTCTCCAGCTGTAAGAATTGTTATGTGACAATTTTGAGGGTGTTCCTAGTAGCTCCTAGTAGTACGGCCAGGAGCCCCTAGTAGCGTCCTTGCTCCTAGTAGATCCTAGTAGCGATGCCCTTGCTCCTAGTAGGGCGTAGCTGTTACGATTATTACAGTAAGAAGTATAGTGAGCTTGAGCAATCCTTGAAGGGGGTCTATCGCTTTTCGGGCCCTCGCCATACGTTCAACATGCCCCAAAACCGGTACTTTGCTTTTCCAGCTTTCAGCAAACTTATCGTATTTCACATCGTTTCTTTCCTATATAATGGGTCATCGATGGTTGTGACGGTTGCTCATGTCACTGTACTCAGAACTGACGTGCAAATTGTTGGATGCGAAGTTCTTCGTGGTGTGCACAATGTTACAAAAGCACGCAGAAACATCAGAAACAAGAATTGATCACACGACACCATCCTCAACCCCTTCCGTCCGTCCCTGCATATCCTCGCATGCCATAGCAGCATATAGTGGCTCCACTGACGCCGACGCCCACAACTCCTAGCGGCCCTAGGCCCTAGCCCTAGTCCAAAAGGCACAGCAAGCAACTCCTCAATAACTGCAGCAGTGGCGCACTCATCCCAACCTCCTTCACTGCAAGACGCGGCGACTCTTACGAAAGAACAAACTGCCCATGCCCATCCTATATAAATCAAGACATTCTCCCACGAGGCACAAACAAATCAGTGCCATTTGGTTGTATTTAGTTTAATCTGTATGGAACGGGAGGGTCTGTTTTGTGCTGAGACACTATACCGTATGAAACCGTCAGAAGCGGTATCCAAGTTTCATCGACCTTCTAGAAAGGTCTGAGATGAGGTGTGGTCTGCGAGTGGGCAAATTGTGCACACGGACGTCTAGATTCCAGTGGAACGAACCGGGGACTTGTTTCACATTCGCAACAACAACACTGCCCTGAAGCCGCTTGCCTGCTCCAATCGAGATTCAATGAAAAGGCAAGCACCAAAAAGGCAAGTGTGTTTGGTGAATCGTCAAAACCGCTTCCCTTTGCAGCAAAGACACCATGGAGACTAAGCTTGCGTCGTTGAGGGAGAGGGCCTACGCTGAGTGGGACGGAAGTAGCAACCATAAGCACAGTACTAGTTACTAGTCACTACTCCACATATGGTACATGCTTGTGTACATGCTGGCCTTCTCGATTATGAAGCAACTCAAAGGGCAGTCCTCCACTTGAGAGACAGACCGTTCACCCAAGAGCTGAGTGCAAACCAATCCAACTGACGCTAAAAGACAAAACAAGCGAAACAAAGCAGCTATTATCCCCATCGAGCAAGATTACATATGTATATACATTACCGTTGGAAATCCCCAAAGTCTTCAACGGTTCTCCATCGCAGTGCCTTGTTGCCATTCTGGTTGTGTGGAAAGTCACACGGATGGAATCTCAAGAAGCTCAACCGAGTCAGAGGCACTTCCTTTTGCATGTTTTGAAGGCTGCACTGGCTCTCCGAAAGTCTGCAACTCGGACAGCCGAGACTTTGCTGTCACACTGTACAAGTCCAAGCAGCGCTCCCCCCTCTCCCTCTATCTCAAGCTGAGTCAAAGGCGGGGACTTTAGACGGACGCTTGGAGCTTCTCGTACAGAGTTTTACCATGTTTTACCTGTGTCCTACTGGTTCTACTACAGTATGTATTCTCCACTTCCCATGTTCTTGTGATGCTTCTTTAAAGCTTCCTCCGCGGTTTTTGACTCATTGAATTGGGACCTTACCCCTTGTCATCCCAATGCAAGCGCAACTTGTCAGGAAACTGATCAGCCACAGCCACACTTCCACAAAGCTGCAAGACATCACACACTTGGTTGTCATCGTCTAGGCATTTGCCATCTGAGTCCTGCTCGGTCTGCTTATACTCCCCGTCCTGCCGAAGTTCAGCAGGGCTTTCGTCTTCACCAGCCCAGTCCCATGTTATATCCCATTCGCATATTTCATCATCATCTTCAACGTGGCCTTCACACTCCTCGAAGGTGGACACATCACTTTCGGATAGGCTGCGGCATCTGTTCACAATTGAGTCGTGATTACATGCAAAAAGTGCAGGGAAAATCATCTCTGGCTCTGCTGGCAGTCTTAGCCTCGCAGAGAAACGGTGATCAAGCATTTGAACTCGCGACATGAGCGTTTCGACATGATTCTTCAGAGATTCTGGAATCTCGAATGGAAGCCAGCAAAAAATAATGAAGCCATGGGGAGTGATGCTCGAAGCTCTCAGCCAAGCCTGCGACTTGACAACCTTCCCAAGGATGGTTTGTGTAAGTGTGTGTTGTAATGTAGCACAGTCAGCTTCTCTGACAAGTGGCATGCGGACGACCTGTACACAAGTAAGCGTCCCATCCCACGTCTCGAACATGCCATCAGGCGTTCCAGGAGGCATAAGCCCCCCGAACGTGCGGACAAGCTCCTGCTCCGACCACGTGCGACGAATCTCCAAACCAAGGGTGCAGTCCTGCATTGCCATCTCCTCGGATCTCACATTGAAGGGATCCGAGTTCAGGCTGTGAGGGCCACCCTGAGCATCTCGGATCACACAACCGTCTGAGGTCGTCATGGCCGCGCTTGCCACCTTCTCCACACCCGCCGTCAAAATTGGCGGAGGCCATGTTGTTGCCGGTGCTTCCCTCGATCATCGCTCCGCCAGCACCACTGGATCCACTTGTGCCGCCCTGACTTGGACTCGAGGTCATCTGCGAAAGGGAGATGATGAAGGAAACGGCGTGGTCGCGTCGTCTAGTCAGCAAAAAAAGGCTTGAGCCGGGGCGCAGCAATGGTTCAAGACTGGAAATAAAAAAGCTGTTTGCCTTGCACGGTCGAAAGTCTCGGTGTCTGGCCAGGAGCAGTTGTGGCAAAATCAATGGCAACAACTGCAAGAGCTTAGTTGAACTTGCCTGTCAGGCAGTCATGTCCCTAACTCCAAAAAGATGAACATGAGGCCGATGATTTGATTTCTTGGCATTTACTATCATTTGCATATTCCTACAAATAATGCATTGACAGGTGGGGTCAGGGTGTCGAGGGTGTCATACTGAGTTACAAAGCATTCAGCATTGTAATTATACAAAACCCAATGTGACTTGCTGAAACCCATCGAAATGATGCATCCGTCTTCCCCGTTGCTTTCGTCTTTGCCAATTGCACCTTGGAGAGTGGTTCAATTGCCACACCAAGGACAGCGCAACGCACTCGCCTTATTCCGACGTTGCATTCTTGGCCGAGAAATCTGTGTTGGAGACGAGCTAAGGACGGGCTGTCAGCTTGACTTGCAAGCAGCAATGCCTGATTGGTGCCAAAATTTATCGACCAGCTACCAACCCTGAGCAAATTCAAGCCCATCAAAACTCTCTGATGCTCAATTGACTTGCCCCTGCTCACATCCTCCAAGCATGATAACTTGGTGCCTCCGGGTTGACTGTAATTCGCTGTAATTATATATATATACTGTAGTTCCTGTTGGCTCATCCAAAGACTCACAACAAAAACCCCCCCAGCCCGGCCCCCTGCCGCCCTCTTGCAATAATCTTGGATGGCCCTACTAGAGCTCTACAGCGCAGAAACAGAACAACTACTCCCAAATCAAGGGAAGGGAAGTATAGAATATTGTAGACTATAGAATTCTACTAAAATTTAAAAGTGGAGCCGAAAGGTAAAGTGATCCAACATGAGGCCTTGCTTTGACTACTGCTGTGGTCCACCCAACCCCATCCAAACTTAGCTTGCCCAAAACAGTATCAACCCATCAAATTTCGCGGACTACGCGCGTCAACCTCACTACCCCTTCCAATCCGACCACTCATACTGGTGGACTTATAGAAGATAATTCAGTACGACCAACATATCTGGTGTATCTATTATATTGAATTATATCATATCATTATAGCGGATTATTATTAATACGCAGTTATCTTGGAAACAAGACAAATTACGGTACTTGCTGCAGGGACGGTATTGTTTGACCCTGGACTCTTGGACTTTCATTTCGGCCTCGAAAGTGTCGCCAACGGCATTCAGCACCTCTATGAAGCTGTCCTCAAAACAGTATTTTGATCAGTAACAATGACATGGTGCAACTTTATTATTATACAGTACTCATAGCCTAGATTGAAAATACAACAAAGAAACAATTCCAGGACTCTCAACAACGCTCTGCCAATGCGATCTTATGAAAGAACCTCTTCACATCTGACTTATAATGAATGTGTTGATAGTCCTCAACTGCATTGCGCGACGAGTCGCCGAACACGCTGGCCCTGAAAAACATGAAGCTGCATGAAAACACCAAAGACACATGAGAAACCATTCTCTTGCTCAACAAAGTCATAGATTTCGTGCGGATTGGTGCGGTTTTAGCATAAACACAGGCGTAGGAATCTTAAAAACATAAACGTTAATGAATCAAAGCAACTACTTTGCTTCATCCCACCTTCGTTTCATCAGTTTTCAGGAAAAAGAACACCATCGCGGCAAAGTAAATGCAACGCTACCCTTTATCCTTGTTTGGGGAACGCAAAAAGAAGCAAACAAATAGTTTGAACACACAAGCCAAAGTAAACACAGAAATGGGATTCAAGCAAGTCTACACACTCACTCCGATTGCATTGTCATCCAATTTGTACATCTTCACTTTGCTCTTCGCATCATTCCCCGCCTGAGGCCAGTATTGGAGCGAACTTTAATCCTCAGCTCAGTGGTGTTGTGATCTGAGACATTGTACCAAAAGTTCAATCACATAACATAATCTGAAGATATCTGAAGCATCAATGTTTCCGACAAATCGACAAACAACTTCTTTCAACTACTGATGCGTATTGGTTGCATTGGCATTTACATTGCATGCTTTTCAGCACTCATTTCGGCATAACATACGGGGCTCACCACATACTGCTCTCTTATTTGTAGAGCTTTAGGCGCACCAATAACTGATCACTGTTCACAACACATTAGCTAATTTAGATTTAGATAGGCTATTATCAACCTATCCACTGTGTCTCCACGCCGTCATATTGAAAGGCCCTGCCCAACAGTCCGAAAGTCTCAGGAAGGGCTGCTCGAGCCCAGCACGGCTGATGTCAAAGCCTTCGAGCAGCTTCCAAGCCGTGCTGGAGAGCGGCAGCGATCCCAACAAGTTGAAGATCACGTCATCTTGCTGCTTGGACAAACGGTGCATTATGGTGTATTTATGTATATAGACAGATGATGACAAATGTATATATTATATACTATATAGATGAGGAATCTCCAGGAACCGATTCACCGTGGCCAGTCCAGGAGCCATTAAAGAGAGGTGTGTAGCCGTCTCTGGTCGACCTCTGTCTCTGAGCCTTCTCTTTCGAAGTTTCAGCTCTCGGCGTCTGGGTGATGCCACAAGCCAGAGGCGAAAGCAACGCAAAGCCAGCCAAAGTCTTCAGGAAGAGAGTGGTCACAAGGTTGAAGGATATCAAAAGTGAGTTAGTTGGATGTAAGTGAACAGCCCCAGCTTGGGGCTTTACTACCAATGTCACTTGGTAGACAAAACCGGCCAAGTCACCACAACCACAAAGAAACTAAGCAGAGTGCGCAAAGTCTCAACCATGTTTCAACGGTCTATGGTTCCGGTGGTCATGAAGCCCTGCGCACAAACGAAAAGGACAAATAAGGAAAAGCCGTTCATGCCAAATCTTGGATCGTTAGGTGATCAAATGAAACTTACATCCTGTTGAGTCTCAATAAGTGCGTTTGCACACAGCAGATTGGAGAAAGAAAGAGTGCACAAGTGGAATGTTTGCCGAGATTCTGGGCATCTCCATTCTTTGATGTGGAGACCTGGCAGATTCTTTCGACTGTTGCATGGTCTTAGGAACTCTGGTGGACCCGGCAAAATAGTGCAACAACTTCGGGTCTTCTGTGTCAGTTGCGAAACCTCCAGGGCTCCACCGGTCTGCTGCTGAAATTCTTCAGCCGAGTGCTGCAGGCTTTCTCTGCGCAGCTTTGGCACCACGATGTACACCTAGCTGCGAAAGCTTTGGCTCCACATTTCTTGCCAACACATCACTGCTCTCACTGCCATGTCACTTCCGAGACAGCTGACTCAGCACCAAGCTAGCAAAACCTGTATACACAGGCAAGAAAGGGCAAACCCATTCACAGGATCTAGTGCAAGTTGATGCACCTGGCCATACACGTGTCCCGTGTAGAGTTGGTTCACGTTTAACACAGGGTAGATGCGCCGACATTGGAATCTGATTGATGTACCACCTTGATCGAGCGTGTTGCACTTGGGTCTGTTCAGGACCTTCAAGGTCTATTCCTTAACATGGACGCTACTAGGGGCTCCTGGCATCGCTACTAGGAGCAAGGACGCTACTAGGGGCTCCTCGCCGTACTACTAGGAGCAAGTAGCTACTAGGAGCAAAGGGCATCGCTACTACTAGTAGAGCAAAATGCAGCAAGGACACGCGACGTGCAAGTATCGCACCGGATAGTACCTTCTCCGTGAATTGCTAGACTCCGTCAGAAGCGTGCATTTCATTTTCGAAAAATACATTGCTGCGGTATGACTCCGGGGATCTCCAGGTGCAATCTATTGAGGAAACGAAACGTCAGGGAGTTGTCAAAGAAAATCAGATTGGCGCCAGCCTGACAAACAGAGCAGCCATCAGTTCAAGTCCTTGCAAGCATGAACAGCTGAACACACTGAGTTCCCTTCGAGAAATGGGCTTAACGTTGTGGCCAAAGCAACCTGTTTGCACAGGTTTGAGGAAATCGCAAGTCGATGGGATACCTGGATACGTTGGTGATCATTGTCTCGAATTATCTCCAAACTTTCGCTCACAAGCTGGGAAGCGCCTGACCAATAAAATGGAATAGCAGCTTCACCCGTGAACCGCGGAGCCTCAAGAATTCACCCATCTTGTGGGGTTTCAGCTTTTTCACCCGAATAACACAAAAACTAACTATATTGATCTTGAGGATGCGACTTCCTACCACCAGGGATGGCATAGAAGCCGACCCTGTGACAACTCAACAGGAAGCTTATCAGAATCAACACACCGATTCGTGTAAACCAGGCAGCCGCACACCACCAAAAAAATCATGACGATCAGCTCCGTCGAAAGATACCAAACCTAGGAAGGCGCTTGATGAATCCTCTGCCCCCTTATCTAGATGTCAACGTATACAAGGAATATTATCTACTGTAAAATGATCTATCTGTGTGTAGTACAAATATATATATGTATTAATATATTATTGATGGGTGTGGTCAGACCCCGCAACCAATGGGTTTTGCGGCTTTGCTTCTTGTCTCAGCTCGTTTTGAGCTGTCTGAACTCCCCCAGCATAGCGTGAGGAGTGCAGGAAGGTCGACAGAATTCCAAATTCAGGCTCCACCCACAGCACCAAGAGGAAAAGCTGTGGGGAACCAGGCCTTGGTGAGAGTGTGCAGGTTACCTCCAGGCGGATGAAGGTACCTCCACAACTGCTGGAACGTCTTGTATGGCAGAACCGGTCGACATGGCATGCCCAGAAAACACCTCTTATAGCCAAGTTGGTGAAGCGAGTCACAACGCTCGACCCAAGGCCCAGGGAAGGCAGCAGGGGTGATCGAATGAATCCACTTCCAAACCATACACCGAATGCGCACTTGTGCACCCAAGCCAGTTGGAGTTGGAGCGACATCGGCCAGCGCATTCTGATCTCGCAGAGCCCAAGTCAGCGGTTTCTTCTTGATGCGAACAGGGACCGATGTGCCTGTGGTACCTGTGTACGCAACATATAGTTCCACCATACTAATGGCCGAGGAGTCACGAATCCAGACCAAATCATTCCAAAAGGTACACAATCTGTGGCAAAAGGTGTCACCAAAGGGAAAACCCGCATCCAAAAGCACGGCCGGATCCAATGGAGGGACATCGAACGGTCGGCCATGAGGAAGGACTTGTTCCAGGGTAGGCAAAACCCAACGCAACAACTGCTCAGGAGGAGGATGTTCAGCCAAAGCAGCCTTACCTGACCAGCTCCAAAAACTGTGCAGCTCCTTGACAAAACCTGTTTGTCTGACATGGTCGTTGACCCTCGTTCAAGTTTCTGGAAAAGATCGCGATGATCAAGGACGACAGCTTGCTTAGCGTCACGGTCCACCAAATCATTCAGCCTGCCCTGTTCTCGCAGAGTGCATGGGGTCATCCAACAGTTTCCACTGGACGTGAGCCTTGACCTTCACGCAGGAAATAGTGTCAGGTGGGCGCTGCAACAAATGCCACCAAATCCTCTGCCAGATATCGTCGTGTCCAGCGTGTTTGTATGGCTCGCAGGTCCGCCTCTTACGCAACAAGGTCCGCAGCCGTTGTAAGGCAGCAGCACAGTCCAGGTGTAAGCGACAAGCAAACCGATGTTGGAGGGAGTGCAAAATGGCGAAGCACTCCCCACGATACGGACTTTGTTCGAGTCCAGGCACAAGCCCCCGACACAGTAGCTTGGATCGTCCATTGTCGACAACTCTGGCAGCAAAGCTAGCAACTGCAAAAGACAGGTCCTGATTGAAAAAGCAGCTTCCATCTGTATATATATCCTGGAATGCACGGTCATGTGGAACAACCAACTCAGGATAGGAAACATTCTGTTGCTGCTTCAACAAGAGGAAGACTTCAACATCAGGGCACAAACCATAGTGCAGCGTTGCCCGAGCTTGCTGCTGCATCCATCGCACCAAAGGCTTCTTCCCATCAAAGAATGGCCGGTGACCCGCGCAAGCGAACAAGCGATGCGACTTCCCATCAACCAAGGTGCATTTAGGGCAAACTGCAGTGGGAACAGCTGCACTATATTTGCTAATGATGTCATTCGTGATGTGTTCTTCCCTCCACACACAACTTTGTCCTGAGGTGGAAGGGAGCGAAAGCTCTGTCGGCAGGGTCCTGGTTCAAATGTCAACAAGTCAAAGTCCTTCCTGTGTTGCAAGGAAGTCCAAACATGATGTCGCCAAGCAATGTCAATGAACAGTACAACTGACTGCCAGCTATCAACAAGCCATGAGCACCGAAGACCAGAATCAAGGGTGATCAAACCCTCCTGCTCACAGGACGCACCAATCGCCAGAAAGGTCTTGCGCAGTGCTTGTGAAGGTCCCGATTGGCAGCTCATGCCACCGGCCAGGCGCTTGCAGAAGGGACCACGAAGGCCAGGAAATACCCTGAAGACCCGGCGCCAGAACTTGCAAACACGCAGGATACGAGCACGTTGCGGGTCCAAGTCCGGTTCAAAGACCGCCAAGGCAAGCAAAGTGGAACCTGCCGCGCCAGCATACCCCAAGCTCTTACCAACTGCACTTCGAAGCGACCGCCATTGCAGGTTCGTGGAATGAGTCAACTCAGAACCATAGAGGGCCGATCCCAATCCTGCTGATCTGGCAATAGACAATTTGAAGGTCTTGGGAATAAGGCCCTTGCCACGGAGCTTCCCCAAAACAGTCTTGGCCTTGGACCGCCGACGAGTCAACGTCTTCTTGGAGACTTTGCCAGTGTACGCCATGTCGCACCCCAAATCCTTTGCTTCATAGCGAAGAGGAAAGGACTGACCCTCAACTGCAACCTCCCGTAGGGCTTTACGCACCGATGGGTGTGAACCCCAAAGCCAACTTTTATCCACAGCAATTTGCATTTGCCAGGATCGAATGAGCTCTGTAAGCTTGGAGAGACTGGCCTGCAAATCCATAGCATCTGTTGCAAACAAGCCCCAGTTATCTGCGTAAAAAGCAGGTTCAGCCGAAGGTGCAGCCTGCTCATCAACAACTGATGCCACGTAGGAAGTAGCTGCCATGCAAGCGACAGAAAAAGCGCAGCCTTCGGGTATCCCGGTTGAACTTGGGACCGGGGTGGCAGAGACATACATGCCCAAGGACCTCGATGCGCCGCACCAGTTGATCCAAGGCACCAGCAGAACCGTAGATGTACTGCCGTGGAAGTCCCAGTCAGTTGAACCAGCAATGCCAAAAGAGGAACACGTGGGATCGCGTTATAGCATTTCACGATGTCCAGAACAGCACCGCAGAGCTGATAGCCCTCAGCACGGGCCTCCTCCAGGCGACAGAGAGTCAGGGCGCACAACATGTCGGCACTAGTGCCAGAAAGGCCCCCTCACAGCTGCAGGAACAATGTTGCGGGGGTAATCCAGGACCTGTGTGGAGCGGTATTTGGACCACGCTCTGTAAAGCCGTGAAATGATCGTAATCGGACGTGTCTGCAAAGGGTCCGTGGGGACAAGCTCAGACTTAGCGAGTAAAGCCACTTTGGCAGCAAGCAATCGTTGTGGCCAACCGAGTTCACTTTCAGCTGCACGGAAAATGGCGAACAACCAATCAAGCAAAGTGCCTCGAATCATGCTCAAGTCCTGCGCAGAGAACCTGCAGCTTCCTCTTGCGCTCTTAGCTGAAATAGAGGAGACCGGTTCAAGCCATACCGAATGACAAAAATCAGCATACGGGCACGTAGCCAGCTGTCGAACTGTCATGTCACTGGATCGAAGCCGGACTGGCCTATCCAAAACCAAGATGTTGTCCCTCACAGCCTCAACAAAAGCCTCCTGCTCCTGGAACTGGATGGGAAGGCCAGGTACGAACTGTTGGACACTGTCAATGACATGCCAGGACCTGTAGGCCAGTCTTAGGCCATCGAACTCTGCGCACATGGACCTCAAACGAAGCGGCTAGGGCAGTCAAGGGTGGTGTAGGCAGATCACGGACAGTGAAGTAGGCACGGGAGCCTCCCTTTGAACAATCTGCTCGCATCGCAGTAGCTAAGGCACGACACTCTTGGAGCCGCATTTGCTGTTCAACTGTACGCACCACTGTTGTCATTTCAGCATAGAGGACATCCACAAAGCACCGCGGAGGGAGTGCAACAGGCACGAAGACACGAAGGTTAGCAAGGGCCCAAGCTGCAAAGCCATGATGAAAGCCTCTAGCAGAGTGAATAGCCCGCCAAAGCTCTTCACAATGTACCAAAGTGGTCTTGCCCTCACCTTTCTCCACACGCTACGGAGCAAACCAAGAAGACTGTTAAGGCGTCGAAGTTGTTTGATCTGAGAACGCAATTGCCAGTTGGGTTGCAGAAGGCAAGACTGAAAGTCGTCACTGCGTCCTTGCTTGACAATCGGCGCAACTGCACTCATCTTCCGGAAGAGCGGCTTCTTGCACCTCCCAATGAAGGCCCTGGAAGATGGGCCGGCTCCCCATCAGTAGAAACCGTGCTAGCACGAAGGCCCTTCTCAAAGGCAGAGCAAAAGGCAAGCAACATCTCCTCAGGATCTCTTCGATCACGGGCCTTAGTGAATCGTCGCCCCTGCTGGGCACAAACATCGTCACTGCAGACACGAAAGCGGTCGGGATCGACCAAAAGCTCACGAGAGTCGCGAGGAAGACTCCAAATGATTTTGTGTCGACTCAGGGTATCAAGATCAAATGAAGCCTCAAGCACTGGATGCGCGTTGAAAGTGTGCAGTTTCGTGGTGCGACATTCTGTCATAGATGTGGTCAATGAGGTGTTCGCCAGCAGGAAGGTCTGCCGTGCAACCCCATTGCTATTCCAAGATGTCATATCAGGCATGCCGCCAAAAAGGTCGCAATGTCGTTGTGCAAGATCATGCCACCCATTCACCTGTAACACATCCCAGTGTGGGAGTTCAGCCAAGTCCACATTCATGTCACCCATGATGAGAGCCGGCCCTTTGAATGCGATAGCCCTCCGAACCGCGGTCTGCATAACCGCATGAAGCAGAGCCACAGGGTTCTCCTGTGACTTGTGAGTCGTAGGTCCATGGAGAACAGCCACATAGATAGACTGACCGAAGCCAAGCTTGCAGATACCATCACATAGTCTCGAGGATCGATCAACCTCCTCAGGCAGAGGCGCAGGGTAAGGTTGAATAGGCCAAGACGAAATAATGGCAGTGCCACCCGCTCGACCTCGCAATCCACCACAAGAGCCAAGATGTGGAACTGGGCGACTTGAGGAAACATAAAGACCAGCTTTCCTGCAGTCAGCACGAATGCTATTGAGAGCTTCCGCTGTTGCACTGGTTTCACTCGCACCCCAAATACCACTTGGAGATAGTCGGAACATGTCCCCAAAGCTGAGTTGGGTTGAAACTGCCAACAGAGAGGGGGCCAGGATGATGAACCTCTCCAAGACGCTGTTGAGACCAAGGCACCCATGCAATGTCAGAGGCAGAGGAACGCAGCTCATGTTGAAAACACGAAGAGTCCTCCTCCCATGAAGAAAAAACTGAATATGGCATTGAATTGAACCTTGAATTAAAGCATGTTTTGTCAACTTCATAGAGCGAAGCCGTCACTGTGGTAGCAGATGTGGAAGGACACAGCAAACAGATGACAGCAAAGAATTTCCATGCACTTGTCCACAGGGCCCAGGGCCCACTCCTCTTGATGAACCATTGGAATGGGCCACGTCTTCACAGGGCACTGTCAACTTCCTTCCTGGCCCGCTTCGCAAGGCCCAGAGAATCCTCCACCTCTTCCAAACGACCCCCAAGGCTTTTGGACATAGTATCCAACCTGGAAGCCATGCCTGACTCCATGCACGCCATCATCTTCTCCATTGAGCTCACCAAAGTCTGGGTGGTCGCAGTGGAAGATTTCTCAAACTCGCCCAACTTCTGACGAGTGAAGGCCGCCTCATCCCTCATCAGCTGCATGTCTTTGTGCGTCTCCTGAAGCCTCTCAGCGGTTGCCTGCTGAGCTTTGGCCATGTCAAGGGCCAACCGATCCATCCTCTCATTCGCTTGCTTCATTTGAGCATCAATCTCTGCTGCAATCTGCGCCTGGATCTCACACTTCACCTCCGTGATACGAGCTGCAGCCGACACCTGCTGGATCTTGGTGGTCGGGTCAGTGGTCGTACACATGCTCATGTGGACATGCTTAGCAGTCATTGTCAGACTCGATTGCCCTCCAGACTGCTTCCTCATAGTCTCAATGACAACAAGAGAACCATTGACCCCGATGTGTTGACATTTGGGTGGATCTTTGGCTGCAACCAACCATGAAGACATGCCCTGGGGCTTGACAACCTTTGCGTCCCAGCCGGAGGTGACTAAGGCTTGAGTCAACCCGGGACGTTCTTCAGGATGTAAAGGCACTCGTCATCAGAAATCGAAGGGACCTCAACATAGGTGGCATCAGGGCTGACAATCTTACGCACCTCATCAGCATGCTCACGCCTGGTGCGCACAGCAAATTTGTCACCCCGCAAAGCAATGCCCAGACCATGCTCACACAAAGCCGCCTTGGAAAGAGCATCGTCCAACGAGCCAGCCGTCAACGGGATAGGGACAAAGCGACCATCTGCTCGATGATCTGCACCTTTTGGGGTAAAGAAGACACCGGCCACACCCGATTTCGCCAAGACCTGATCAAGCAGGGCATCAGCCACCTTGATGTAGCCCTTCCACATGACAGCTTTCTGATGGCCACATCTTGTCATCACCAAAGCATCGGATAGACCAAAAGGACAAGAGATTTGGTCCCTCAGGATGGTAACTTGCTTGCCCAAGTAGTTCAAAGGAATAGCAGTGTCAGGCCATGTAGGAGTAAATTTCTGCGCAATGCAGAACTCAATGACCGTGGCCTCAACTTGAGCAACCTGTAAGACAGGAACAGCCGCGCAATACTCCACAGGTTTGTCCCCAAAGTTGAGGAGGACCGCGCGAAGTGCCAAGGGAGCTCCATCACGCTTCCAATGTGCTGGGATCTGAATGGGATCCGAAAAGCCATTCAAATCCGATCCAACGACCAAGATGGCCAAAGCTCCACAAGACAGCACCTGTTGCTTCATAGCCAAACGGGCTTCACTAGCATTCATGATGGCAAGACCCTCCTGGTCAGGGCCAAAGCGATCTTTCTCAAGGAAAGTAGGCGAAGCCTCGTCAACCTTGAAGTGCTCCATGGAGACATCAATCAGATCTGCACGGATCTCAGGTCCAGAAATCTTGACCTTCTTGGTGGGTCTGTTGTTGACCGATGGAGGTGGCTTCTGTGCTGATGCTTTCTTCCAGTCAGCTAACTCCTGAGAAGTGACCAGACGAACCCGAGCATCATTGGCAACCTCCTTGAGGCGAGGCCATAGCTTGTCAGCATCCTGCAGTGCATCCTTCAAGCTCTCCGGATTGCATTTGTCTTTGATGATTCTCACACGAGCCTGAACAGCCTCCTTGGGAACACCATGATCCAACAAGACCGAGGTGAGGGTCTCATCCATGCCGTTGCGTTTGGCGCCACCTTTGAGAGGGCACAAGCGGAAGGAAAGAAGCTCAGCCTCAGGAACATCTGCAATTGTCGCCACAGGGTGAATCACATGGCTGCCACACAAACATAGGATGGAAGTGTTGATGCGAGTATGCGAGAGAAAGCTGGCACCCAATTGAACCACAGCCACATCATGCGGAACGGCCAAAACATCCGGCTTGGCCTTGAACGGTGAACGCACCCATCGCTTGACACACGGCACATCAGGATGAAGCTGATGAAATAGGGCTGAACCATAGTGAAAGTGAGCCTGGTCAAGGCTCACGCACACAGACCTCCACGGAGCCATGGTGTCCCACTCAACTTCAAAGCTCTGGCATCCCATCGCAACAAGGTCATGGATTGTAACCTGATCAGGCAGAAACTGACCCTTCAGCACCATACGCCAAGAGGTAGAAGAGGCGATGTCCACAAACACATTGACCTTGGAGCTCATGGTTGCCATGCAAGATCGAACAACCTTGCGATTCGGATGTCGGGCATACAGTCGGACACATGATGCATCCACCGGGCGAAGGCCTGAATCCTCTTGCGAAGCCTCAACTTGCGCAGGCACATAACTCGGAGCAATCATGCGAAAGGCGATCTGGAACTCAGTCTTGTCAAACTCAAACAGGAAGTCATCCGACTTGAGAAGGATGCCATTGTCAAGCAACATAATGGCCCCAGGGTGACACTGGAGGGCCACCGCTGCACAGGCCAAGGCACTGGTGACATTCCAAGTCACATCAGCATTCAACTGGCAACCATGCTCACCAATCAGACACTTGATGTGCTTCCGCAAAGGCTCAAACAAGATAGTCTTGGCAGGACACGCGACCAAGAGAGTCTCCCATTCAATCTCAACAGCACCATCCCAGAAAGTCACAGAGTGCTCCTTTCTCGCGTGCGGCAATGCCCTGGTAATGAAGCGAGCCAAGGTGTCCTGAACAGGTCCATGAGCCAAGACAATCCTGTGCTTCTCCCAATGCCGAAGGAAGATCACTCCACCAGTGGCATTAGACCCCACCGCACGGGCATCAATGTCAAGCTGATGTGCAAGTCGAAACTCAGGATCCATAGCCAATGTAGTCGTGGAGAAAGGCTCCAAAGCCAGCATGGGCAAAGTCGGGGAAACCACTGCAGGCTCCGTCGGCTTCATCTTCTTCAGAGCTGACTGGGAAGCTTCAGCACTCTCACCAGGGATAACCATCATACAGTCCTCATGAACTCGGATGACATTTCCAGTGAGCAACATCTTGGACTCTCAATCTTCAAGGCCAACTCAGGAAGGTTGGCCATAGGGATGAAGGGCGAAGAAGAGCCCAAAACCGTGTGCACCTTGAGAAGACCCAGAACTGCATGTCCAATGGCTGCAAAATCCGCTGAAAGGACAGTATCACTAGGAAAACCCTGAGCAGCAATCACCTCCATATATGATAGTATCTCACAACGCCATCAACCCTCAAGAGATGGGTCATCAGGCCCTTCCGCTTCAGCAAGTTGACCGGCAGGTTGTGCTGGTTGCCGTAGCATGCCATTGCAGCAATCATAGGCTGATGTGGAGATCGCACCCTCGCTTCAAAGACATGGATTGGGTTGAACAATTTGCCACCTCCATCACGCGAAGGTAAGAGGTCAGCACGGCTCAACATCTCCACAGCCTCAACGGAGGGACGAAGAGCTTGAAGGTCAACCGAAGTCAAACCCATCAAAATGGCACACTCTGAAGCCAAAGACAAAGCGGTAGCTGGAACGAAGATATGGGGTTGAGCCCAACTCAAGGCCTTCCGACACCAGACACCCAGCCAACGCTCACGAACAATGGGATGCACAGCATGGACGTCATGGATACCACTGCAGACCAAGACATAGCCATGCTTGTCTGCCTCCTCCTTCAAAAGCACAAAGTCAGGATGCTTTGGACAGCCAGGGACATTCTCCGTGACCATAGCCCAGACTCCCCTGCTCTCGCAATTGGCGAAGATCTGCGCAAAAGCTTGACCATTGGACCCCTTAAGGCCCTCGCTGTTGCCAGACGCCGCCCATGGTTGACATGGGGGAGAACAAAATTAAAGCCAACAGACAAGTTCAAAAGGCCCATCCCTTGGTGGATAAGGGGGGAATCCGTTCGACCACAAATGACTTCCGTCGCCCCACACCCACTGGCCAAGGCCTTGGCAAGAAAGCTTCTGGGGTCAAAACCTTACTCTGGCAGTTGGATGCTCGGTTCAATCGCTGTCGAGCAACTCTGCAGACCTCCTCATCGAAATCGACCATGATCTTCGTACTCTTCGCAGCCAGCTGAAGGCCACAGTGCCAACCACCCAGACCAGAGAACCATTTGAAGGCCCCCATTGAAATCCCTGAGTGCACCGAGGGGTGCAAGAGGAGGACAGAGCCCTCCTTCATAGACAGTCGGATCGACTCTCCCTGCCAAGCCACACCAAATGCCCTCAGGAGGCCTTCGCGGCCAGGAAAGCAATGGGCTTTCCACCCTTCATCCAGCTTCACCGTCACCTTGGTCTGGCTGGGCAGGACCTGGGCCATCACCTCGTTCTCATCACCTGAACCTTCAAAAAGTAGCCGTGCCTGGCCACCATGAAGGAACTCCATGGCTGAAGATTGGCGGGGACCGCACCACCGGCTGGTAGGATTCAGCCTCTTGAACCAGGATGCTCGCAACCAATGGGTTTTGGTTTATTTCTCTTCAGTTATTCTTTGGGGTGGCGGTCTCCCTTTTTAATACACACCCATTTATGAGGGGTATAAGCAAGGCAAAAAAAAAGCAAAACATTCAATTGAGCTGTCGACCATGAGAGAAACACCTACATCTTGAGCAATTTCGAAGAGAAATGGCCACCTCAAAGCCAGGTGGATTTTACCAAGCAATGTGCAATGTCCATCAGAAGATCGTGGAATTTCTAGGAAGGGTGCCAGCTGCAGATTTCAACCAAGTAGAACAGCTGAACCAGCTTGGCATTGTCCTTCAAGTGGCTGCCAATGATGGCTGAAGTCACGACAAGCAGTGCTCGTTCTTGAAGCAATAATCTTTCCGCTGGAAAGCCAGAATACATACAGTATATGCAAAAAACACAGAATGTCCTGCACAAAGTCTGTCTTCACCCACATTGAGATGATGATGTCTGCAAAGCCACACGCTACCAGGAACTTGGCATCAGTTTGAGGTCACCGGTGGTTCAGCACTCGAGCACACTGACATCACAAGTGCAATATGTCGAGAGTGTCACAGTAGCCAGAATGCCACTGATCACGACAGCCACCATTGGATCAACCTCACTGAACTCGCTCATGCGGAAATTTATGCCAAAAGGGATTGAACGATGTGAATACTTCCAAGGAATTACCTGACTTGCGGGACTGCATTCCAGAATGCATCAGTGCGGTGGGCATTAGCTGTCCTGAGCCAAAAGGGGTAAGGCAAACGCACAGGCTCCAAACATCAATTCGAAACAATGAGGATCCCTGCAACCCATCTAGCGCAAAGACCTCAATCAAGGCAAAACCAATTCAGTCACAAGACCTTTATACTCCACACGTTGCACTTTAGGCAAGTGGCCACGCAGCACACAGACTCCGGCACCTTGGAACGTGGTTCTGATTTGCTACACTGACGGGAATTACGTCTATGTTATATGTAATGTATATAGTTGCAAACATGTTGAAAAAGTCCTGTCGCTTTTGGGAGGCCCTATTGCCTACTATTGCCTTGAAGCTTTCTGTGCTGGCTTATGTAAGTGTCCGAATTTATTGGTCATGGCAAGCGCAGCACTTTTTGTGAACATCGGAGTGCGGATCTTAGCATCCAGGTCTTATTAATTGCAAAAAACCTGGTTGCCCTTAACATCCGCCGTCATGCGGATTGGCAGGTCCTATGTCTACATGTTTTGGAAAATACCTGGTGGCGGTCGAATGGCAAAAGCCTGGTGCGGGGGTTGTACTGGTTTATGTCTACATGATTCATAGTACTGTAAAACGTCGTGAAACATTTTAAAACGCAATATGTATATATATAGTTATATATAACTACATCATACTACTATATCAAAGTATTCAAAATTGTTGTTTTTCTTGCGTGTTTTCTTCCAGTGGCAGGCGCAACACTTTGTTAATCTCGAACATGTTGCCCTCGGGTGGCTCACACAAGGTATGCTCTGCTTCCATCTAAATTCTGCCCTGATGCAACTCAGAAAAGGAAGCTACGTTTCAATCTCTAAGTGAAACCTCCGGTGGCTCACAAAAGGCGTGCTATGTTGGAACGGTTCCTTCCTCCTCTAGTTAGTTATTGCCCTTGGGTTGGTCACAAAGGGTATGCTACGTTGGAACTGCCTCTTCCTTTTCTCAATTTTAGCCTCGGGTGGCTCGCATACGGTATGCTCATGGCTTCTTGCCGCTCTAAACTCTACCGTCAAAGGTACGCTCCGTTTCTATATGGCTCCTTCCTCCTCCTCCTCCTCCAAATTTCACCCTCGAGCGGCTCACAAAAGGTATCCTACGTTTCAACCTTTAAATCTCAACCTCGGGTAGCTGACAAAAGTTGTGCTACGTTGGAATGGCCCCTTCCTCCTCTCTAAACTTTTCCCTTGGGTGTGTCACGAAAGGTATGCTACGTTGGAACGGCCCCTTCCAGTTTAACCCTCAACGTGCTCACAATGGAATGGCCTCTTCTTGCTCTAATTTTTAAGTTCGGGCGGCTGTCTCTTGAATGGCACCATCCTCCTGTAAATGTTGCCTTCGGGTACAAGGTATGCTATCTTTGAACCACAAAAGGTTTTTCATGGCTCCTTTCTTCTCTAAAATTTACCCTCGAGCGGCTCACAAACGGCATTCCAAGCTTCCATGGCTCCTTTCTTGCCTAAATTTTTGATGTTGATGTCTCACAACAGGTAGCCCCTTCCAGCTAAATTCTGTCATATGCCCGAAGGAAGGAGCCACTTTATGCCACTTTATCAGACACTCTGTTCTCTTGGGCCAAACCCAGAAAGTGCACAAGTGACATTGTAAGCTGCTTTGTTTTGAATATATATGCCTTTCTTCCTTTCAAACTTGTCTCCCTGGCTTTCTTCCTTCCCTTTTGTCCTTCCTGTGTTCGTTCCTTTGTTTGTGGGTTCGTTTGTTCGTTGGTTCCCCTTCCTTGCTTCCTTCCTTCCTTCCTTGAGTACCGACCAGGAGAAAAAACACATCCGAATCTATTCGACGTGTTTCTGTATGCATGTTCCCCAAAGAACGTCCATTATTCCAGGCCCAATACAGTATTTCCAAGATGGTTTGATGACAGCCTTGCTGGCCGGCCAGCTCGAGGGGCCTACTTACTTTTGCAATCTTTGACATATTTTGAAATGTAATTTTTGATCCTTTCTACTCACCTAATTCAATTGCTTTTTGAGTACTTTTCTCCGGCACCCTCCCAGCTTTCATGTCTTGCCTAAACATTTGCGTGGGGAAGTTCTTCATCTTCACAGGATCCATCCAGCGCAGTGCACCCAGTTTCTATCCGTTTCTTCGTTCGAAAAGCAAAGAACATCATTTCCTAATGCTGCATGCTGATAGTTTAAATGTATCAAGCACCTGTGTACAGTGTATCGTTCGGAGGCTCTGTACGGCTTTACACACTCTCAAGATGGGTTTGCCACTCCCACTGCAAAATTGCTCGTCTACCGTCTACATCCGTCTACTCTTCCGTCACGCTCAGGATCCACCTGAGGCGTCAACCTGTGCAACGCAAAGCTTTCTGAGGACTCTGGTGCGAAGCCTGTTCAAGTTCATCACGCCCCGCAGAGTCAGCCGCTAAGCAAAGCTGAGCTTGGGGCTTATTCAAGTCCTCCAAACGAATTAAGAACAAACTAAATCAGCACCGCCGTAGAGTTGACAATTGTCACGTCCCAAAGGATTTTGCAAAAAATAAACTTGCCAAAACACTCTGACACTCTTAAATAGTCTTAAACTTTGTTCTGATTCTGGTTGTTGTTCCCAACCAAGTTCTGAAACTAAGTGTTTCGGAGCCAACATCATTCATTCTCCAGATAGGGTCGACGTCTGATTCGGTAAGCAAACGGTCTGATTCGGTAACTATGATTCGGTAACCAAAAGCGTTGATTCGGTAACCAAAACGTCTGATTCGGTAACCAAAACGTCTGATTCGGTAACCAAAACCGCTGATTCGGTAACCAAACCCGCTGATTCGGTAACCAAAACCGCTGATTCGGTAACCACAACCGCTGCTTCGGTAACCAAAACCAAAAACATTTCCAAAAGAAGAAACTGATGACCCGGGTAGTAGTAGTAGTAGTAGTAGTAGTAGTAGTAGTAGTAGTAGTAGGTGGTAGTGCCACGATGCAAAATCTCTCCGCGAAGCAACAGGAGAAACGATATTATCTGGGCCATGATTCCCCCCACCCCCCACCCCACACTCCTCCTGCCGTCCGCCACTAATTCTTATTTGAATGAACGTAAAAGCCCTTTGCATCCACATGGAACGCTATCATATTGGCTTATTTTCTGAACAGTCTAACTTGGATTCTGAATCAACTTTTGGTTTCTAAATCGGCCGTTTTGGTTTCTGAATCGGCTGTTTTGGTTTCTGAATCGGCTCTTTTGGTTGC